ACAGAGAATATCCATCATATCTACTAAGAGAGAATTTTAAAATATCACATGGTTTTGACTCAAGTGCATGGGCTGTATGGAGCTTAAATATTCCTAATTCCCATTTCTAACATGGGAAATATTCTTCTAGATACAGAGAAAAATTGAAGTCATCTTTTACTCTTCCTTCTTTGTTTCCTGCTTAAGCTATGGCTAGTTTCTATACATGTTTCTTAACAATATATAATAATGCATCTGTAATGCAAATGTATGCCATTTCTACTGCCAACACCTTTCCTGTCCTTACCCCCTTATGTCAAATTAGTTGCTTTATGATAACAAACTTTTAAGAGTGTGGTATCATTAAATCTCCATCTGCTTTGCTCAAGAACCTACCCTGGCTCTCAGCTGCTACAGATATCAAGTGTAACATCCTCTGCCTAGGCTTAGAATTTCTACAACACATCCTCAGCACATGTAACCAACAATCTTCACTTCCTAATTATTCCTCCACATGGGTCTTTTGCTTATTCTAATGTGCTCTGCACATATGGTTCTAATTTCTGCTTTGGTTGATGTTATTTCCTCTACTTTGAAAGATTACCCCTTGGCCACTAAATCTTAAAACCCTATCTTCCTCTTGAAACCATTTCCTTTATATACTGTTTCCTAACTAATCAGCCTGCCCTTATGACACTCTCTTCTTAAACTTTTATTATATTTACTTGATTTTCTAAATAGTGTCACACTCATTTGTTTTAAAATTATGTACTGTGTTATTCTTGTACTGAGAGTACTTGTATTTCTTTCACACACTTCACAGCACCTGAGATATTTAAAGAAATAATATCTGAGACATGGTAGTCTGTCAACATATTACTTTTTGAGTTAGATTGGGCACCTGAGTTGTACTTGTTTATTAGTTTGTTGCTTCTTTGGTTAATTTAGAGCAGCTATGGAAGAATTGACCAACTCACACAAACAAGCAGTACATACTTTTTAATGGCTAAATTTCTCTCTTAGGTATTTGCCCTAAAGGAATACATTAGGGAAAAGCTCAAAGACTTAGCTTCATGGATGTTCTTCGTGTTCTTTATAACATAAAATGTTCCTTATAAGACAAAAATTATAAACATATTACAGCAGCAGAGGACATAAAAGTATGTATACTCAAGCAAGTACTATAGAATTCAGCTTTTTAAAATGCTGTAGATGACTACATTTGGCATAATAACAATACATGACTTTTAAGTTTTGAAGCAGATAATAAATATGTTTTTATTTTGATTACTGTTTTGTGAAAATTGCTCTGTATGTTTATACACACATGCACAAATAAATAAAAGTATGGGAGAATTTATATGGTGTTAACATTGTTTATCTGTAGTGGGTAAATTAGAGATTTTTGTTTGTTTACCTGTATTTTCAACACTGTAAACATTGCTAAACGCTTTGAAAATAACTATCACAATTAAGACATTTCCCTTAGTTATGGACTTTACAGAATGGACTCTATACAATGTGATCAAGTTAACAATTGTAGTTAAAGGACTTTATTTTATTTACTGAATGACTTAGTAAATTAACCACAGTAAATGTTTGTCAGTTACAGCATATCTTGCCCTAAACCTTGTCTGTTGATATTTAAACTACTATTTTTATGTTATAATTTGTTTGAAAAACTTGTCAAAATATAAAATTTATATAATGTCAAATAAGAAAATGTTAATAAAAATTTCAGCCAGAAGTAGCTGTTTCACATGTACAAAAAAGACAACAAAGTATAGCATCACTTGGAGTTTTTAAATTACCAAATGTGATAGCTTAAGATTTCATGGAGGTAGCATTTATGCCAGAGTGTTGCTTGAATTCAACTTATATGGCACAAGTACAATTCAAGATCTTAAGTAGAGCTTGAAGATATAGAATTAAACAGGAGCTATACATACACACACAAACACACATGTGGATAAAATGAATATTAGATGCTATGTTCTAAAACTGAGATAAATCACAAAATGAATTACTTTGCAAAGTCATTTCAGTAAGTAGAATAAATTCTTAATTGAAACAATTATTTTTACACATTATGTAGAAACCATATAGATTAAATTTATGTAATAAAAGGTCTTTATTACAATGAGTATCTTCAAAGTATTTAGCAATTTTTAAAAATTGCGTCAAAGATAGGGAAACAAAATGGGAAATGGGATATATAGGCCAGAGAAAACTAGACATGATAAAAAAGCAGGAAAATGTACTTCCTAGAGAAGAACAAAGGCAATTCCTCCAACACCTCACCTTGTAAGGCATGGAGGGAGAGGGATCCTTTAACGTACAATTTCTTGGGTTTTGGTTGGAGAGTGCTATGCTTTATCAGTCTAAGCCCAGAAAGAGAGAAATGGCTGAGGACTATAATTTTCTGTGCCAAACCAAGTAGGTTGAAAATTGAGTAAAATACTACTTTAGCTAAACAGTACTATTTTTTGAGCTGGGAAAAATGGACAATATGATACAGTGGACAAGAGCATGGGCTTTTGAGTTCAGCACACTTAGTTTTTAACACTGGCTTCATTATGTTAACAGTTTCCATTCACTCAACAATACACATTTTTAGACATTAACTATATGCCAGGTAAAATGCTTAGCATTGGTAGTAAATTAGGGAGCAAAACACATATTATTTTTCCCTTACAGTTTAATGAGGGAGATGGACTTTAATCAATTCATCTTACAAATAACATAACTATATACAATGGTAAATCAGTCCAGGAAAAATTCAAGAATCCATGCAAGTATATTTTAAATGTAGGCAATCTTAAAAATAGTATAAAATTACCAGGGAGAGAATGTTGTCCTAGGGTAGATGGGAGCATGCTGCCATTTATAGAAGGGTAGTTTCTGGATGATAGAAAGCCATAGAAAGCAAAAAAGTTTAAGAGCAGAAACATTAACTTAGAGATGTGGGTGGAGCCAGACCACCTCGACCTTTTTCCTAAAGCAAATGAAAGCCGTGGAAGATTTTTAAGCAGGAAAGTAGCAACATCAAAGTGGTTTTTTTGTTTGTTTGTTTGTTTGTTTTTTTCTTTTTCTGAGACGGAATCTCGCTCTGTCGCTCTGTCGCTCTGTCGCCCAGGCTGGAGGGCAGTGGCGAGATCTCGGCTCACTGCAAGCTCCGCCTCCCGGCTTCACGCCATTCTCCTGCCTCAGCCTCCAAAGTAGCTGGGACTACACGCGCCTGCCAGCCACTACGCCAGGCTAATTTTTTGTATTTTTTAGTAGAGACGGGGTTTCACCGTGTTAGCCAGGATGGTCTCGGCCTCCCAAAGTGCTGGGATTACAGGTGTGAGCCACCGTGCCTGGCCAAAGTTTTATTTCTAAAAACACTCCAGGTGCAATAAGAAAAATAAAAATGGATTGAAAGATGTTAGAATATTGTGGAGAATTCAGTGAAGGGGCATTTGAAAAGTTCAAGACAAGACATAATAGTTGCCTGAAATTAGAGAGTGGTAGTAGTAGAGATACATAGTAGAGATAATGATTTATACATTTCTGGCTTTTGCAACTGAATAGAAGAGGGTGTCAGTCACTGAGCTGGGGGATACATAATGAGAGCCAGATTTACTTGCATTTTAATTTGACTAAGTTAAGTTTGAGATGACTTTGAAATACCCAAGTGGAAATGTCAAATAAGCTTTTGAATGTATCTGAAGCTCAAAGTGTCCTAGGTTAGAAATATTACTCTGATATTCATTGGCTTACAGTTGGTTATTGAAGTCATAGGCATGGATGAGATAGCCTGGAGAAAGAGAGTACTAGAGTCAGAAGAGAAGAAATTATTGGATAAATCTTTTTAAAAACTCTAATATTTAAAGGTCAATTAGAGTCAGCAAAAGAGATTCAGACAACAGAGAAATTAGGGAAAAACCTAGAGAAAACCAAGAAACGAGGAAAGAAGGTGCTTCAGGGAAAAAGTGGTCAATAGTGATGAACACTACCGGGAAGTCAAGTCACTGAAAAGTGAACATTATCAAACATGTAGGTTGTGAGAGTCATGTAAGTGGAATGCTGGGTGCATCAACCAGGCTACAGCGGATACAGTGAGGAAATAGATTCAGTATAGACAATAGGCAAAGAAAAAAAAATAGAATGATAGCAGGAAGTCAAAAGTAATTTTTTTAAATGGCACGGAATTTTAAATATATCTCAGCACTGAATGAAATGATCCACTAAAGAGAGAAATGTAAAGATAGAGAAAGGATAGCTGGGCGTGGTGGCTCATGCCTGTAATCCCAGCACTTTGGGAAGCCAAGGCGGGTGGATCACCTGAGGTCAGGAGTTCAAGACTAGCCTGGCCAACATGTTGAAACCCCGTCTCTACTAAAAATACAAAATTTAGCTGGGTGTGGTGGTGGGTGCCTGTAATCCCAGCTACTTAGGAGGCTGAGGCAGTGGAATTGCTTGAACCCAGGGGGTGGAGGTTGCAGTGAGCTGAGATTGCGCCATTACACTCCCACCTGGGTGACAAGAGCAAAACTCCATTTCAAAAAACAAACCAAAAAAAAAAAAAAGAGAGAGAGAAAAGAGAAGAGTGAAGAGATAAGAGAAGGCTTATCACAACTTTGTCTAAGTCTCCCTTGTTTTCACAGCTATAAAATGGGGAAAAGAATAACTACATCGTAAGATTATACTAACAATTAAATAATATGGTGTGGGTAGAATGCTTGGCAAAATTTCTGGCACACAGAATGTGTTTAATAAATTGGTGCTTAAGATGAATCTAGCAGCTAACATATATATTAGTCTTATACATATTAGATGCTCAACAAGTATTCGTTAAATCTGGAGTGAATATGATTCTGGCACATAATTTTTGATTATTTGGAATATAAGAGTCTGATGCATCTTACTGTATTACTGAGTTATAGATACACCTTGGATATTCACTGATTATAATGATGATATATAATGTTTGCTATCCGATGATGTTGATGTGTTGAGTATTTGTGTTCACAGGGTGCTATTTTTCTGTCTGGAAATAAAGTTTTTGAGCATCCTTGCAATGAAGAGAACCCAGGGAAGTTCCTTTTTGAAGTAGTTCCAGGTAAGATATTTTCCTAGTCTGATTAAATTATTGTCATCCTGTGTTGGTAAAGGTGAAGATAGGTCAGACAGGTTTCATTCTTTTTTGAATCATGACTGAGAACCTTAATTTGAGGTTTGGTTAGTGTTGACACAGATAATAACTGCAGGTTTATATACTAGTACAAATGAATGCACTCACACACACATACTCTGACCATGTAACTACTGGATTTTCCTTTGTCCATGAGACTCCATAGTTGACCACAAGTCATGACACAGTATTTGTTCAGGACTCTTGAAGTGAATTTGATTTTATAGTGCTCTTGTGATATGAAATTTGACAAGGTGTTAGAGGTTGAATGCTTTGCCCAGCGGAGTCACTGACATACTTCCTCACAAAATTGCATCTTAAAGGAGATTTTGCTAAAAGCAAAGCAAAATAAAACAAAACAAAAACTCTTACTCCTTAATACTTGTAATACTGACCAAGTATTACAGTTCTGTACCTCAGCTTTGCTCCCAACCAGCCACTTCCACGTGTTTCGCTAGTAAAGCTGAAGACAGCTCTGCCAAGACATCAAATCCTGCAGTTAAACTTTTGAAACATCCGTTTGTTTTTCCTAGTCATCTGTATTCATTTCTCTTAGTGTATCTGATCTTCACTAAAATCTTTGACTCACCCAGCAACAATTCCTCCAAGGCCATGATACCTACCTTTTTGATCAGTTCTTCAACCTTTCCTTGTCCCTCAATGTAAGAAAAAGGGAGGTAGGAATCTGGTTTTTATAGTATTGGCTCCAGCTGACCCAGTTTATGTAATATTGATATTGATTTGATCACGGTCTAGGGTTGGTGTGAATTTATTTGGGTAAGTAATATGGAGTTCTTATCAATAATGCTACCACAAAGCAGTCAATAAAATGTCTTTTTCCCATATTTATAAATGCTGGGAATCTAAAATGGAAAGGCGTATTTTCCCCTCGATGAAAACAGCTGTAGCACTAAGTTCATCTGGCTCATGATGGAATCCATGACTAAATGTTAATTAATGCTGCTGAAGTGCAGAAAGGTTAGTCAGATGCAATGTGTTATTTGTTTCCCTCCAGGGAGAACATATTGTAAGAAACCTGAATCTTATTTGCCTTATTAAAATCCTTTTATTCTTACTTCTTAGTGGAATACCCTGTATAGAACCAGATTCCAGATGTTACAAAGTCTTTGAAGTATCAGTAGAGAAAATTTCTTTTCCAATTTATTCTCAGACAATAGCTCATGTTGGCTTTTAAATCAGCATGGTATTGAACTGATGGTTGACTCTTTATCTCCAGTAATGCTAGAGGTCTACTTTTCCATTCAGTCTGCTAGCTGCAAGGAGGTTTCATCTTTTGGTGTAGAACTTCTCAAGTAATATAGATGGATATTTTCAATACTGTTTTAGAGAGAGCCATGTCTTCAAGACCAGGAAGTAATGGATAAAACCTCTTCTCCAACATTGCTATTCTAAATCATCCGTTTCACATGCAGTGCGTATGACATAATGGCTTTTGAAGAACAAAGCCTAAGAAGTTTAAGACTGTGTAATATGGAATCTGAAGGTTGTCCTTTCAAAAAAATTATAGGAAATTCAAGCTTGCTTCTGTAATTATGGAGATAAATATAGTATGCAACTAGATCATTTGAAAAGATGCTTCCTGAATTATTAATACAGTATGTAATAGCTGCTAAATCATCTTATGGAGTGTGAAGAGAAGTGTTCCAAATGTGTCTTTGAAGACAGAGCTGGAAACACAAAGCACTACATTGAGAATCCAGTGTCTGTGCCATTCATCCTGGTCACCAGGGCTTTATTGGTGTGCCCTTGACATCAGGATGGCGTTTCCAGGCAAACGCTTCTGTACTTCTGTGATAACATGGGATCTGTATCAGATTACTTTCATCAATATTTGCATTATTGGGGTTATTCAGGGATAGCATAACAATTAATTTATCTTTGCAAATGGGAATGAGAAGATAATATTTTTCAGTTTTTCAGTTGTGTAATTGTTTAACATGAGAATTTGGGATGTTACAACAGAGTGTTTTTATTTGTCGGAATGCAGAGGAGGCAGCAAGGATTGCAGAAATGTGGTTGGTAACGTGTATAGAACCCTCGGCAGGCTGTGGGCCTACCTGGCAGAAGATCCTCATAAAGCATATTTATTCTAGATTGGCTTTCTCTATAAAATTATTTCAATTGCCACTTCTGAAAATCTGTTATAAAGATGATGCTTACAAACCCAACAAGTGTCTGTCTTTATGGATAGCTAACTGAAGTCTAACTATTCTGAGTTTATCAGTGAGTAGGAGGAGATTACGTGTTTTAACATATTTTAATCTCATCTGCCCGTAATGATTTCCAACAGAACTCACAAAAGTCTCTAGCAAGCTCTTTGCCATTATTCTAGCACTACATGCATACATACACATTTGTGTGTGTGTTACGAATATAGTTTATCCATATGTGCGCTGTATGTCTTGATAATTTTTCCATACGTATCTATATATATGTAGAAATTTTTATTTTGTTTTATTTTTGCTTTTGCTTTATACTGAAATATCCTATGAAACCAAGGAAAATCATATAAAAATAATAAAACACAAGAATTTTCCTGAGACCTGAGTGTCTCAGGTCTTTGTGTATTACTTACTTATATTTGCTTACAAACTATATTTGTATGCATATTTTAGGCTTTTGTAAAACCCTATCTGAAAATAAATCCACTGTGTTTTAGGGTTGATTTCCTATAGATACATTATCCTATGAAATGAATTATCTCTCTGAATAATGCCATGAGTTACAGATTTTTCGCTCCAAATTTGTCCTATTTCTCTACTTGTTATTCAAAGGGATATCAGCCAAATTGGCAAATTTGAAGTCTTTTCTGTCAGACATGCCAAATTTTAGACTGAAGTGAACTTCTATGGCCAAAGTCCAAACTTTTGGGAAATGTGGTTGAGAAGGAAAGATTGGCAAATCTTTAACGAACGGTTCTTGAAGAAAGAACTTGCAGTTGGTTTCTGCTTCTCTAAATGTGTTCTAGTTGAGTTTTCCTTGAAATGTTTTAAAAAATAAAGAGTAATTATTGGAATAATGATGTAATAACTTTCTTAGGAGAGAAGTTTCTCAGAGAAAAAAATACAATGACAAAGAAACAGACAAGAAATTGGCAAAATAAGACAAAGGAGGACTATATGTACCTCCATATATTTAGAAACCACATCTTTCTGGCTTATTACTGTATACCAAACACCTGGGAATAGCATAATATAACACATGGTGCTAAACAAATATTTATTGAAGTGCATATATTTACCAGGCTTATGGAGAAATCTCAATCATATGAAACTGCCCCCACTCTGCTATGCTGAACTATTTCCTGTTGCATAAGACCTTTTCTCCCCTGTTGCAGCAAAGACCTCTTTGTCACTCTAGTGGCTAAAGTGGAGAGAAACTCCTTACATATTTCCTTTCCTACTTTTCTGCCTTCCTTTTCTGATGATGAGACCTAGAGATGGATGGAAGAAGGTAGAGATCTTCCTACACAGTTGATATTGCTGACTGATCATTAACTGATCATTACAGACATTCCTCTCTAAAGGCTGAATCTTTCACAGGTGCATGTGTGGATTTTTCAGGGTCTCTGGAATTAGAAATCCACTTCACATGGTAGTGTTCTCCCGGCATTGGGATTGTCCTGTTGGATGGGATACAGCAAAAGGGCTCAAAGGCCAGCTGCTTGCTTTGTGTTTATTCAGCAACTAGGAAACTCATGTACCCTGGCCTGCAATGTAAGGGAAATGCAGGCTGTTCCACTGTTGCTGCCTCCTTTGTCTTGTCATTTTCTCCACGGGTTATCAGCTTCAGTGCCCAGCAAGGTCAGTGACTTGCCAAGCTTCAGAGGCCATCATGAGTCCTTGACTTAGAGAAGGAGTGGGTCACTGTTCTAACACACATCAAAATTTACCAGCAATACTCTTGTTCCGATAGTTGGGAGAATTCCTAGTCCTCCCTCTCAAAAAAACAGTGTTGATTTTGAAAACTGCTTTCTCCAAGTAGTACTTCCTCATTTCTAGTTTCCCCTTCAAAGCAGTCAGGGCCATTTGGGTTCTCAGAAATGCAATGCTTTCTCTCAGTAAACCTGGCAGAGAAGTGGCTAGGCGCAATTTCCATTGGTCTTTTCAACTTAGAATGTGGGGTTTTAGCCTCTTTTGGGGAGCAGGGGGTGGGACTTAGCTGCAATTCCAGGATAATGGGGATAAAATGTTTTATTTACATCTATCTATAATCTTAGATTGGATTCCAGGAAACACACGCTGATGGAGAATGACATTAGATTGTCATGGGAAAGGTTCTGTGAAGATATTTTTTCTGCGAGGAAGTGAGGAAAGCAGGATGTGACAGGAGCACCTGCCCTGCAATGCCATAGCAACTGAGGTCTTAGCTGATCCAGTGGGGTCCCCTGAAGCTGTGATCCCTCTCAAGATTTCTTCAAACTGAGGAGCTGAGGCTTTGTTTCCTGGTGCCAGCTAGTCATTGATAGGGAGCAGGGAGACAGATAAACTTGGGTGAAGCTGTTTCCTGCTGCATTGTAGAACAATTCCCATGAGAATTTCTTTGTGCCTTCAGCAACCAATATACCAGTCTTTGGGATCTAGACAGAATACTACAGTATCCATTATAATGTCTGTAGCCTTGTCAGTATCTGGACGTCTGAATTCCAGGCAATGTTCCAGGCTGTTCGCATATATCGCTTTATTTAATCCTTACTACAACTCAATAAGGCAGGTAATATCATTATCTTTATTCTACAAATGACAGAGGTGAGGCACAGAGAAGTAATTTGATCCAGGTTAGAAAGCTAACACTAGGCTGGGTGCTGTGGCTCATGTCTATAATCCCAGAATTTTGGGAGGCTGAGGCGGGTGGATCACCTGAGCTCGAGACTTGGACACCAGCCTGACCAACATGGAGAAACCCCG